TGGTTTTGGGAAGGGACAAGCATTTGAACATCAATCTAAATTACCTGACCCTTGTAGAGGACTTAGATGCATTCAACAGGTATTCGTGGGGTTCGGTGTCCTTTGACAAAACCCAAGACAGTCTGTTTTCTGCACCAATAAAGTATGTGAAAAGCTTTGAAAATGAAGAGGGAAGAGGGAAGGGGAAAAGTAAGGTAACGGGAACAAGCCGGAGAAATGAGAAGGGCAAGAAGGATAAGCACGGTGAAGTGCAAAGGGGTGACTGGAGTTTTAAAGGTTTCACGTATGCTTTCCAGGTACATGGTAATAATGTTCATGTCAGTTATGTTTTGTGGACTTTAAAACTTAAATACTAACTTTTGTCCTGTGGATTGTGTAGATTTGGGTATATGAATTAATTCCTAGAATGGAGGACCTGAATTACTGCAAGGTTGTTGATTCGACAGCTCGCCCGCGTATTTTGCGATGGAGAACTACTACGGCTGTTCTCGAGATGAGAAAGTTGAACAATTATTTTTTCCAGAGCAAAGAGGTTTGGTTTGCAGCCCTTGGAATTATTTACAAGATTCAATGAAATTATGAAGTAGAATGATTGCATATGACTCTTGTCTGTATTCTGAAACAGTCAGTTCAGTTGCGGGAGCTATGTTCGAGTGAAGAGGAAATGAGACAACCATATTGGAGTTGGCCACAGGATCACCCTGCTGTTGTCTCGGCAGAGTCAATTTCTTCTTCATGTGCTGACCTTGATGAGTTGAACAAGGCGGTAAGCTTGTTGAGGTTCGAGTTGTTTCAAGTAAAGCGGAAAAAGGACGTCCTTAAGTTAAAGGTCATACGGATGGAAAAAATGTTAGACCACTGTTTAGGTCCTCATTTTGAGCAGGAAGTGAGAAGGGACATAGCTTTACTGAAAGAGAGAACGAATCGTTGTGTCGTGTCACATCTATTTAAGGGATATAAGGAAGTGGATGACATGCAATGGGATGAAAGGCCAAGTAACATAAATGAGGGAGAGGAAAAGGAAGAGGGGGGAATTAAAAGGGGTGAAGGGGCAAGTAAGAGAAATGAGGGAGA